CAGAAGTTGCTGGAAAAGCTCAGCAGGTCTGGCAGCATCTGTGAAGGGAGAAAATGGAGTTAATGTTTCGGGTCCGGTGACCCTTCCTGACAACCTGATCAACTCACATTATGACCAGAATGCAAATATAATAGGCAATGAGGAAAGCATATCACCACACTGCAATGTTTGTAGTTTAATATATATCCAAAGGAATATACAACTGAGTTAATATGTTATTTGCAATCAGTTTTGGCAGACAACATTCGACATAGAAGGTAGTTATTTTATAGGATAGCACTAATGTTTTCCAAAATATAATATATTAATAATGACATTAACAGAGCTCAGCAGAGCCACGAGGCACAAAATGTCAATGAGTAAGATTCAAGTGAATTTGAGGAGCAGCAAGAGGGTGACAGGAATGTGAGATTCATTGCCTGAAATCATCATAAACGGACAAACCAGCGCCACAATTTAAAATAAAAATCTCTTGGATAGTCATTTGGAATGCTGTAACATACCAAACTGTGGACTGAATGAAGTGGGATCAGATTAGATAGCTGGTTATCAAGAGGCATATACATGATAAACAGAATGACCTCCTTCCATAGTATAAATTTATATCATTTGCATGATCCTTCAAAAAGAAATAGTTGCATTCGATGTGCTGGTGAGACCACATCTGGAGTGCTGTGGGCAGTTTTGGCTCCCTTAATTAACGAAAGCTACTATTTCATTGGAGACAATTCAGAGAAGGTTCACTGGGATGATCCCCATTACAGAGGGATTGTTTTATGAGCAAAGATTAAACAGGTTGGGACTCTACTCACTGGAGTTTAGAAGAATGAGAGGTGATTTCATCGAAACATATGTGATCCCTAAGGGGCTTGACAGGGTCAATGCTGAGAGGATGTGTCCCCTCATGGGAGAGTCTAGGACCAGAGGGCACAGTCTCAGAATAAAGGGGAGTCAATTTAAGACTGAGATGAGGAGGAATTTCTTCTCTCAGATGGTTGTGAGTCTCTGGAACTCCTTGCAACAGAGAGCTGTGGGAGCAGAGTCCTTGAGTATATTTAGGGCTGAGATAGATCAACAGGGGAATCAAGAGTCATGGGGAAAAGGCAGGAAAGTGGATCAGCCATGATCCTGTTGAATGGCAGAGCAGGATCAAGGCGCCGAATGGTCTACTCCTGTCTTATGGTCATTCCTGCTGCTGGTATTACCATGCTTTTCAATCTGGGATGTGGTTACAGAATCTGTTGGCTGACCTCGTGATCTTAGGGTCTCAGATGTGCGTGGGCTTCTGTGTAAATTTGCAACTTTCGTGGTGTGGTGGTAGTGTCTCTATCTGTGAGCCAGAAGGCCTGCGTTCAAGTTCCACCTGCTCCAGAGGCATGTCATAACATCTCTAACAGGTTCTTTAAAAAAAGTACAGACAGTCATGATAATGTTATCACCATCAATGATAGGGTTGACCACTGAGTGATCAAAACGCACACATTAATGTGACTACCTACCTGTAAACTAAATTTTAAACATCACATCAGTCCGTAATGAATGGAATAAATCTATTTGTGTTTGAGAACACTATAGACAGTGTCTTCTGAATCAACATTATCTTCACGGCAATATTTCTTCGGCGTTCTTACATTCTGCTGTTGTATATTCACGGATGTGTACACAATTTCACTGGGGCACTATTGAAAAATAACACATTTTACCATGGTGAAAACTTTTATCAATGCACATTACTCTGTCTTTCAAATACAGGCTTCGCTCAGCAAAATATAGATATTTCAACACAAGACAAGAGAGTACTCAATGAACAACAAGACCCTTGGAAGCTCAGAGGAGCAGAGGGATCTTGGAGTACTTCTCCATAGACCCCTGAAGGTGGCAGGACCGGTTAAGAAGTGGTTAATAAGACTTACAGCAATGGCCACAGGGACAGGGAGGTTATGTTGGAGGTGTACAGGACCTTTGTGAGGCCACAGCTAGACTCGTACAATGTGGAGCTGGAGGAACATGGCAGGCCGGGCAGCATCAGAGGATCAGGAGAGTCAACGTTTCAGGCCTGGACCCTTCATCAGGACTGGAGTACCTTATGCAGTTTTGATCTCCACACTACAGGAAGGATGTGATTGCAGTGGAGGGGGTGGGTGGAGAGGCAGATATACCAGGATGTTGCCCCAGGAAGGAGCAGTTTAGCGATGAAGAGAGACTGGATAAGCTCAGGTTGTTTTCTTTGGAGCAGGGAAAGCTGAGGGGGGACCTGATAGAAGGGAATAAGATTAGGAGGAGCATGGACAGCATGGGTAGGAAGCAGCTGTTCCTCTTAGTCAAAGGGTCAACAACAAGGGGAGCATCATTTGAAAGTGAAGGTCGAGAGGTTTAGAGGGGATTTGAGGAACCTATGGTTCCCCCAAAGGGTCTGGGATGCACTGCTGGGAGGGTGGTTGAGGTGGGAAATCTCATAACCTTTTACAAAGCACTTGGGAATGTCAAAACATTCAATGCTATGGGCCAAGGGCAGCAAATTAGGACTAGCGTAGATTTAGTGTATTTTAACAGTACAGACGCGATGGGCCAAAGGACCTCCGCTATAGCGTGTGGTTCCATGACATCTGTGAATAAGACCAATCGGATATCTTGTTTGACAAGCGATGCCTTAAGCAGTATTCTGCAAAGTTAGAACAAATGGTCTTTCATCCATAACCAACGACTGTCCCTGAACAGACATTTCTGAAGAAGGGTCTAGGCCCAAAACGTCAGCTTTCCTGCTCCTCTGATGCCACTTGGCCTGCTGTGTTCATCCAGCTCTGCACCTTGTTATCCCTGAACAGACACTGGTGTCTCATGGTCACATCCCGACTGTAGGAAGGGCTCATACAGACGATACCTGAGCACCAACTCAGTAACAACCAGGTAATTTGTTATTGCATGCAATAGAGGACCAGGAATTGACCAGGGAAAAGGAGACAGCAAGCCCACACCAAACAAAAGTTCTGTTTTGCATGCAGTGTAGGCAAATCATACTGTACAAAGTGAGTTAGGGTAGTAAAACAGAGCGAAGGATACAATGTTACGGTTGCAGAGAAGTGCAAAAAGAGAGAGATTAACATTAGATTTAAAATTTGAGAGGTCTATTCAATAGTCTAATAACAGTGGGGAATAAACTGTTCTTGAATCCATTGATATGTGTGTTTAAGCTTTTCTGCCTGACTGAAGAGGTTGGAAGAGATTGTAACTGGAGTGGGAGGGTTCTTTGATGATGTTGGCTGTCTTCCCGAGGAATTGGGAAGTGTAGATGGAGTCAATGGATGGAAGGTTGACCTGCTTGATGGTCTGGATAGCACTCACAACTCTTTGTAGTTTCTTATAGCCCTGGACAAAGCAGATAGACTGCTTTCTACGGTGCATCCATAAAAAAATTGGTAAGTGTCTTTTTGGACACACTGAATCTCCTTAGCCTCCTTTACTGGGCATCAGTTCAACACCAGAAATTGTCACCTTCCTAAGGTACAATATCACCCAAAATTTAGACTGAAAAGCCAGACTTTAATATCATACACAAGGCCTGAGCAGGACTCAATTGTATGAGCATATCGTTGGACTTATAGAGGGATGACCATACTTACAAAGGAGATCCCATCTTACAGTTTATTTTAAGGTTCCAAGGTTTTGTTTGTACTTATGAACGGATCTTTTATGCTGTACTGTATTGTGCTCTGACTTGCTTACAATTTGACTTAATACCGTACAAAGGAATGGAACCCATTCATCACCCAGGGGATCGTCTGTAGATATTTTCAACCTGTTCGGAGATGTTATTACCCACATCTAGAGATGGGACTTTGCCCCAGTCCACTTGGCCCACAGGTAGGTACACAACAAGATACCTCCCCAAGGACGCGTAATGTAAAATGGGGGAGTACACCAACTCTGAACTGGGTTTGACCAGCATCTGAGCAATCTCAATATCTGTGGGTCATCATGAAAACTTAGCCAGAAAATCTAATCTTCACCCTTGTCTTCCTCAATGTTGCTCATTCAGATTCTCCTTTTATTGCTATGAACCAATGGTACACCACCTGATTGATTTAATCGTCACACACACTGTGACTGAACTCCATCATATTGCGCTGGCATATCAAAAAAAGATTTTTGCAGTCCATACCTCATCCAGATCCGTCCTCGTTGAGTTCCTCCCAGCAACTAAACCACAGGGAAAAGAATACCAAAGGGCATGGTTAGTCATTGTCTGAATATAATTCGATGTTGACTCAAACACACTGTCTATTCTTGAAGCGAACTAGATTCCATGGTCTGCCCTCCCAATGCAACTATTCATCCACATGTCTAAGGCATATAATCACATCCAACTGCATCTCAATGGATTATAAATAATTAATTTTCCACGGATAATTTCAAACATACTTACCGACCAATCTACTCTAGGCTAGTTAAACAAGCCTTGTCACCATTAACTATCTATCTAAAAACATCTGTGATTGTCCATCAATCCATCCATCTATCTGTCCATCCACCCACCCATCCAAAAAAATTTGTGACTATCTGTTCCTTCCTTTGCTGCAGTTAAATGTGCTGCTAGAAAGAGCTCTCTCCCGCTGAGCATTGCAACATTTTAAGAATTGAGACTATTCAGACTGTGCTATATTTGACTATTCCAAAACACCAGCAAACTTTCTTTTAACCAACACCTGAATCATAGACACTCTTAATAAACTGGTAAAAAAAATCATCTATATACACACACACATATACATATACCTCAAGTACTGTGTTCCACCATTTTTTCCTTCTTTATTCATTAACAGGAGGAGACATCGCTGGCCAGGCAGGCAGCATTTATCACCCATCTATATTTGCCCAGAGTGCAGTTAAGAGTCAACCGCATTGCTGTGGGTCTGGAGCCACATGTAGGCCAGACCAGGTAAGGATGGCAGTTTCCTTCCCTAAAGGACATGAGTGAACCAGATGGGTTTTTCCCAACAATTGGCAATGGATTCATGGTCAGCATTAGATTCTTAATTCCAGATTTTTTTTTAATTGAGTTCAAATTCCACCATCTGCCGTGGTGGGATTCAAACCCATGTGCCCAGAGTGTTATCCAGGTCTCTGGATTAACAGTCCAGTGATAGTACCAATAGGCCATGGCCTCCCCTGGCAATATCTGTATAACCTCAATATCTGTGTATCCCCTAGTGTGAAATCTCGACTACTTTTCATAGAATCCCCACACTGCAGAAGCAGGCCATTCAGCCCATCATGTCCATACCGACCCTCCATTGAGCATCCCACCTAGACCCACCCCCTACCCTATCCCTGCATTTCCCACCCTGGACACTATGGGTAATTTAACATGGCCAATCCACCTAACCTGCACACCTTTGGACTGTGGGGGGAAACCAGAGCACCCAGAGGAAACCCACACAGACACAGGGAGAATGTGCAAATTCCACACAGACAGTCGCCCGTGGGTGGGATCGAACCCAGGGCCCTGGCGCTGTGAGGCAGCAGTGTTAACCACTGAGGTGCCCCATGTGTTTTTTTGTGTTTTTTTTAAAACATTTATTTTAGGAGGTGTGTTGATGTTTTCATGTGGATATTTTTGAGTGATTTTGACATTTTGAAGCTTTGCTTGGCTCAGGGTTTACTGTGATTATGCGAGCTTTTTGATTATCTGGAATATTTGAAGACCTGCACAGTCTTTTTCCTATAGGTGCCGGTTAATAAAGTTTGCTTATCAGTTACATTCAGTTCTCCACAGCAATAAGTCTAGGCTTGTTGCAAGGCTTGACAGTAGGTAACTCAGTATTGTTGGGTGGTTCATGGACAGGGTTTCAAAGGTGACAGGCAGTGAGACGAGAACACAGAGTGTGTGTGTGTGTGTGTGTGTGTGTGTGTGTGTGTGTGGGACAATGACATCAAGTTAGGCAGGGCTATTGTTCGCTCTGATGCTAAAGTCAACTGAACTGCGAGGTTTCTGTATAACTGGGGGCTCAGGGAAGTCCCAGACCAATTGGTTAACTCTGTGTAGTGAGGGCTTTGTGATAGCTGAGCAACTGTGAAAATCTTGAAAGAAATCTGCACACGGTATGAAATACATGGGGCTCACGGAAGTTGTAGAGTAATTGTAGAGATTTCTTTGTAGCTGGGGCTTGGGAAAGTCTTGGAGGTTTCAAAAGATTACCCATATTTTCCTCATGTTAAATTTGGGATGTTAGAAGGTAAGTCTTATCTATATTTGCATGGTCCATTTACAGTCCTAGAGATGTACAGCATGGAAGCAGACCCTTTGGTCTGACCCATCCAAGCTGGCCAAATATCCTAAATTAATCTAGTCTCATTTGCCAGCATTTGCCGTCTAAACCCTTCCTATTCATATACCCATCCAGATGCCTTTTAAATGTTGTAATTGTATTCACCTCCCCCATTTTCTCTGGCAGTTCGTTCCATACACGCACCACACCCTGCATGAAAATTTTGCCCCTCAAGTCCCTTTTCAATCCTTCCGCTCTCACCTTAAACCTATGCTCTCTAGTTCTGAACTCCCCTACTTTGGAGAAAAGACCTTGGCTATTCAACCTGTCCATGCCCCTCATGATTTTGTAAACCTCTATAAAAAAGTCCCTCCAGCCTCTGTCATTAAGCTTTAAGCATGTTTACATTTGGAGCCCCTAATTCTAGCTTGGCCTGCAAGGGGAAACATCATCTCTACATTCACCTTGTCAAGCCCCTTTCGCATCTTATATACCTCCATTAGATCTCCTCTTATTCTTCTCAACTCCGGAGAGTATAAATCTAAACTGCTCAATCTCTCTTCATAAGATAATCCTTCATCTCTGAAACAATCTATGAGCCTCCTCTATATCCAATATAACTGCAGTGGACCAAAATTGTACACAATACTCCAGGTTCGGTCTCACTAATGATGGAGCTATACTGCCTCAGAAGAGAGACTCTAAATCTAAAATACAAATATATATGAACACACACTGTGGAAAATAAACTCTGCTGTACACTGCAGTGGATATACAATATAGTTTAGATGCACATTGGGAAGAGCATGCATTTCAGGTAGAGCATTGAGTACAGGAGTTGGGATGTCATGTTACAAGACACTGGCAAGACCACAGTTGGAGTACTGTGTAGAATTCTGGTCACCACTGCTCTAGGAAAGATGTTATTAAACTGGAAACAGTGCAAAAAAAGATTTACGGGACTGGAAGGCTTGAGTTATAAAGGAGAGGCTGGGACTTTTTTCCCTGGAGCGTCGGAGGCTGAGGGGTGACCGTAGAGAGGTTTACAAAATCATGAGGGGCATGGATAGGGTCATTAGCCAAGGTCTTTACCCCAGGGTAGGGGAGTCTAAAACTACAGCACATGGTTTAAGGTGAGAGGGGTAAGATTTAAGAGGGGCCCGGAGAGCAACTCTATCACGCAGAGGGTGGTGCGTATGTGCAATGAGATGTTAGAGGAAGTGGTAGATGCGGGTATAGCTACAACATTTAAAAGACATTTGGACAGGTACAATAATAGGAAAGGTTTGCTCCAGCCTCTCTGCTCCTATGATGCTGCTTGGCCTGCTGTGTTCATCCAGCCCTGCACCTTGTTGTCTTTAATAGGAAAGGTTTACAGGGATATGGGCCAAGCAGGCAAATGGGACTAGTCAAGTTTGGGATACTTGGTTAGCATGGACAAGTTGGGCCAAAGGGTCTGTTTTCATGCTGTATGACTAAATCAGCAACAGATTTGAATGGAATACTTATTCCCCTCACTATGAACATACTCCATTTGGGTTCTTTGATAGTTGGAGCAGGGAAAACTACAAAAATTGCCTGATGCGACTGGAGGTCACAGTTCATATTTAAAACTCAACTCACCTTGATAGTGATGGCTCATCCAGTTAGCCGCCTCGTATGCTAATAACAGCAGGCCAAGCAACAACAGCAGACAGATCACCGCAAGGATGACGAATGTTCTGAATATTACTGGTGTAGAATCTGTGAGAAGATATACATTTCCAACAGGTAAAAGGAAGTCCATTATCGAATGTATGAGAAATATGAATTTTACTATCCTGTATCCAATGTCACATCCACGCCAAACAAAAAATGCAGTGATGTTATGGAGTTTTTTTTTATTCACTCCCTGGATGAGGGCATTGCTGCCTAGGCCAGCATTTATTGTCCATCCCTAATTGCCCAGAGGGCAGTTAAGAGTCAACCACATTGCTGTAGGTCTGGAGTCACATGTAGGCCCAGACCAGGTAAGGGTGGCAGTTTCCTTCCCTAAAGGACATGAGTGAACCAGATGGGTTTTTCCAACAATCGACAATGGGTTCATGGTCACCATTAGACTTTTAATTCCAGATTCTTTATTGAATTCGAACTCCATCACCTGCCGTGGTGGGATTATGAACCTGGTTCCCCAGAACATCAGCTGAGCTTCCAGACTAATAACCAAGTGATGATATTATTAGGCCATTGCTTCTCCCAGTCATAAAGTCACAGAGACATACAGAGTGGAAACAGACCTATCGGTCCAACCAATCAATATCAACCAGATCCCCAAACTAAACTAGTTCCACCTGCCTGCTCCTAAGCCATATCCTTCCGAATTTTTCCTATTCATGTACTTATCTAAATGTCTTTTAAACGTTGTAACTGTGCCCACATCCACCACTTCCTCCGGAAGTTCATTCCACACATAAACCACTCTTGTGTAAAAAAGTTGCCCCTTACATCTTTTTTAAAATATGTCCCCCTCACATTAAAAATGTGCCGTCTAGTCTTGAAATCCCCCATCCTACGGAAAAGACACCCACCATTCACCTTGTCTATGACCCTCATGATTTTATGTAAGGTCACTTCTCAACCTCCTACGTTCCAGGGAAACAGGTGCCATTTGAAAGGGCACACACACACACACACACACACACACACACAC